AATGTCAGCTTTCCTCCTCCTCTGATGCTGCTTGGCCTGCTGTGTTCATCCAGCTCTACACCTTGTTATCTCTGTCCTCAGTGCATTTCCTTTGAGCAACCAGGGTACGTCAAATATGGTCCAGGATATTTTGGAGTTTGAGTCATAGTTTATTTGGGGCTGGGGTACTTCTGAGGAGGGATTTGTCGAGTGCCTTTTGGGATTGTTTACCGTGGAGAAGATTGTGTGTAAAAGGTGCATAAACCTCTTGGAGCTGCCCAACTTGTCAAGAAGTATCAATCTGTCAAGAAGTGTCAAGACTGTCAGAACCTGTCAAAACGTGCATGTATGAGTTAGAGTGCTTTGTTCACCACAGTATTTTATGCAATATAGAACTTTCAGTATCGGACATTATTTGTTCTCACATGTGTATGGGCCCAAATACTAGATAAGTTGGCCTGGTAGGTGAAGGTGAAAAGGTGTTAGAAAGGAGCGTGTACTAAGGTGCATTGTGCATATGCAGGTCCATGGGTGATGGATAAAGATCTTTGGGATTTTATAATGAGACGGGTACTTGAGGGGTATTAGATCTTATTCATTTATTTTAATATTTGCCAACAATGATGGAAACTCAAGACAGACTTTCCACTCATCCCAACCCAGTTTGTCAGGTCATCTGGGTGCACTCCCAGTGCAGCCTGTATATGGGCGGAATGTGAGAAATCTAGATAAAGATCAGATTCACAGATCCAGGATTTCTCCTGCCTCTGTACACCTGACCAGGAATTAAAAATTGGGGCCTAAATGTTTGAGCCCCTGGTCCTTAATGTTAACACACTGACCTATGAGCACACCTGCGTGGGGAATAATATTCTTCACTGTACCACCTCTGGCAAGTCTTAGCTACCCTTTTCCTCAGAACTAAATGAATCATGGGACGTGCTTGGGATATTGGTGTCAGACCTTTGTGGAGCCCTGTCTTTATCCTACAGTAAGTGCTTCTCTTCGGTGCTAAGCCCATAACTGAGCGCATGTGCCTTTGTATTTTTCAGCTAATTATTTATTTCCCTCAATTGGGTATGATAGAGGTAACCAAGAACACATACAATCACAACATGGCTTCTCCTATTTGTACTACACATCTTCTGCAAGGCCTTTTATGAGCGAACCCAGGACAAAACTGGCAATGTTAGTGGAATAACTGCACAGAGGCTGGGTCCTGTCACCAAATCACCCCTTACAGTGCACAGTACATTAGCTGTGGCCAGCCAGTTTGGAGTCAGTCGTCAACTGAGGAGATTCTAATGTCCTGGTTATGTTGGTCAGCCAAGGCGTTCCTGATTGGCCCAGGATAAAAACGCCAATCACGAACCTCGTAGTTAATGAGGTCAACCTGGTCCCAATCACTCCATCCCTCCCTCACTAAGTCCGAGGATGTAGGCCTGGTCTTTCGCTTATAGCTTCTGTCGTAACGTTTTCACCCCAGCTCCAGTCCCTCTGACTTGGATTCAGACACAGGTGGTGTGTACCGGACCGTGGCCCGTCTCTTGCATTTGAAACGTCTCAGAACAGTCTGATCCTCTTCCAGCAGCAACAGTATTGAAGCTGCATCCATTTTGGACTCAGAAGTTTCCTCGTCACTAGACAAGAGGAGAAGCACCTGTGATTTCCAACAGAGCCTTCTGGCTGTTCTGAGGGGTCAGGTATGTTTTGCCCTGCCCCGTTTGTGAGGTAACAGCTTTCAGGTGATCCACATATTTGTTCAGCTCTGTATCACCTACCTGAACTTTGTAAGTGACAGGACCTGACCTTGTGTCAACCTCACCTTTTACCCATACAGGACCATTTCCATGGTTCCAGTACCAAACTTTGTCCCTTGCATTAAATTGACTCTCTCGTTTAGAGGCTGCATTTGGCTGTCATTGGCATTCTTGTTGCCATTTTACCCCACCCCCCAGGTGTGGAAATATCAGATTTAACCTGGTGCGGAGTCTTCTCCCCATCTGCACCTCCACTGGAACGATCCCTGTTGTTGTGTGTAGGGGTGGTCCTTAGCACAATTAGCACAATCC